CCGAGTAGCTGGAACTACAGGTGCGCGCTACCACACTTGGCTGATTTTTTGATTTATTGTAGAGATGAAGTCTCGTCAAGTTGCCCAGGCGGGTCTCGAACCCGCGGGCTCAGACAATCCGCTCTCCTCGGCCTCCCAAAGTGCTGGGATTACAGGCTGAGCCACCGAGCCCGGCCATGGGGAAAGATTCTTTTGGAGAATGTTCAACTCCAGGGAAGAATCAATTCTTTTTTAGTAATGAGGCGAACTCAGAGATGAGAACCTGGAGTCCACTAAACCCTGGCTTGCCCTCAAGGATTCTTAACTCAGGGTCAGGGAGCACCCAGGGCCCATGGCATGCCTTGAGGGGCTGCCTCCAGGGCCAACTCCTCAGCTACCGTGTTGTGGGCTTGTGTTGCCCACAGACATTCACGAGTTCTTGAGGTTTGCTGATGTTACCTAGACTTTCTTCTGCCAGTACTAAATACAGAAAGCCATCCTGCTTTACAAGACAACACAAGTGCAAGTCAAAGAAGTCCTCCAGTAAAATTCAAGTGGATGCTTTGCTGCCATTTGTCTCGCTACTTTGGAAGCAGAAGAACAAGGACACAATTCTTGGCTGTTCTAAAGCTGGGCCAGATGTCCCATTCCACACAATTGTCTTCAGATCATGCCTCCAACTGTAGCATTTAGAAACCTGCAAGGGAACGTCCTCAATGAGAAGTTAATCCTGAAGGGAAAACACTCCTCTGGGGACAGCAACTCACTTCTAAGCTGCAGCAAGCTCGACCAGATGCTGTGTCACACCAAGGACATCGTAAGCATTTGAGACGAGTTGGCTTTGTGAGGATAAAGACATGCACGTTACCCCTGGATTCTGAGATGTGCGGAAATAAAGTCAGGTGAACATGCCTCATGGCTGGAGTTTCCTACCTGGCTTCGTGTTCAACTGAAAAGCCCAATGCGTCAGGGTGCCAGAGTTGGTAGGAGGCTTGGGCAGTGTCAGTCCCCAGTAGAGCAGACGTCCATTGTTGAGCTCAGCTCTTAGCTAAGGTTGCTGAAGACATCCACAGGGCCTGAAGTTGGCTGCTCAAGGCAGTTTTCTTGCTCCTATTTACCTTGGTGCTGTGAAGTAGCTCCTGTGGCCAGAGAGACACGATGCCAAAAAGGAGTTCTGGAAACAAGCTCTCGTCTAATACAAAACATTTAGGTGGGGAAAGCTGAGAAATACATTATGCAGAAATAGCGGGTGTTCCAAGACTAGAGTCAGAAATATAATCCATTAAAATTCATCAAGCCAGGCATGGTAGTTCACACACTTTGAGAAGGGATGAAGCTGGGAATTAGAGACCAGCCTGGATTATATAGCAAGACCCAGTCTCTATAAAAAAATAAAAAACTTAGGTGGGCATGGTGGCACACACTACTTAGGAAGTTGAGGTGGGCAGACCACTTGAGCCCAGAGTTCAAGGCTGCAGTGAGCTATGGTCACGCCACCGCCCTCCAGCCTGGGCAACAAAGTGAGCCCCTGGCTTTAAAAATAATAAATAAAATTGATTTGAGTAAGTCACCCAAGATTTCTGTTCTCTATTTTATTTTTTATTTTTATTTTTTTGAGTTAGAGTCTCACCGCCACCGCAGCCTTGACCTGCTGGGCTCCGGCGATCCTTCTGCCTCAGCCTTCCGAGTAGCTGGAACTACAGGCACATGCTACCATGCCCGGCTAATTTTTTGATTTATTGTAGAGATGAGGTCTCGCCTGCCCAGGCGGGTCTCGAACCCGCAGGCTCAGGCAATCCACTCACCTCATTCTCCCAAAGGCACGGGATGACAGGCTGAGCCACCGAGCCTGGCTTGTTTTCTGTTTTAAAGCAATCTAATTTCATTAGAATCGGGGAAGTCAACTTCTCAGTAAGCATGTTGCTTTTTGTTATTTTTGAAATAACTGCCTATTTTCCACATTTACCACCCTTATGTCTTAAAGATGACCATGACTAGAAATAGAAAATGACACTTTTTTTTTTGAGTTGGAGTCTCACTCTGTCACCCAGACTGAAGTGCAGTGGCTGCTCCCGGCCACCGCAGCCTCGACCTGCTGGGCTCAGGCGATCCTTCCGCCTCAGCCTTCCGAGTAGCTGGAACTACAGGCGCGCGCTACCACGCCCAGCTAATTTTTTTGATTTACTGTAGAGATGGGGTCTTGCCAAGTTGTCCAGGCGGGTCTCGAACCCACAGGCTCAGGCAATCCACTCACCTTGGCCTCCCAAAGCGCTGGGATTACAGGCTGAGCCACCAAGCCTGGTGAAAATGACACTTTAATATCAATTACTAATTATTTGTCCTACTTATCTTTTAACAGATGGATGCTATGAAAGATTTAAAAATGTCTACCAGAATGATTTTCATCAGATGGCTAGATCTAAAGAGGGGTGCCCTGGCTGGGCACAGTGGCTCACGCCTATAATCCCAGCTTTTGGGAGGTCGAGGTGAGAGGATTGCTTGAGCCCATAGGTTCAAGACCAGCCTGGGAAACTTGGCAAGACCTCATATCTACAATAAATCAAAAAATTAGCCAGGCATGGTGGTGTGTGCCTTTAGTTCCAGCAACTTGAAACGCTGAAGCCGAAGGATCACCTGAGCCCAGCAGGTTGAGGCTGTGGTGGCTGTGAGTATGCCACTGCACTCCAGCTTGGATGACATAGTGAGACTCCAACCCAACACACGCACAAAGAAAGGTGTCCCTTAGCCGGGCTCGGTGGCTCAGCCTGTAATCCCGCGCCTTGGGAGGCTGAGGTGAGTGGATTGCCTGAGCCCGCGGGTTCGAGACCCGCCCGGGCAACTTGGCAAGACCTCATCTCTACAATAAATCAAAAACCAGCCGGGTGTGGGAGTGCGCACTTGTAGTTCCAGCTACTCGGAAGGCTGAGGCGGAAGGATTGCTGGAACCCAGCAGGTCGAGGCTGTGGTGGCCGGGAGCGGCCACTGCACTCCGGTCTGGGCGACAGAGTGAGACTCCAACTCAAAAAAAAAAAAAAAAGGTGTCCCTCAACACATGTGAACACAGGTGTACCCCCTTCAGACTTGAGAAATTAGTTAGGAACTGTTTCTTTTAAGAGACAAGGTCTTGCTATGAATCCCAGGCAGGCCTCGAACTCCTGAGTTCAAATGATCCTCCTGCCTCAGTCTCCAGAGTAGCTGGGACTACAGGTGCACGCAACCACTCCGGGCTTTTACATCTTGGTGGGTATGTTTTCCCTTGTACAAGTTCACCTTGTGTTGCACCTTGTAAGTCCTTTCCGTAAAAAGGCAGAGGATGAGGAGTTTCAGGTGTCTACACAACAGGCTTCCACTTTGGTCCAGGGTGGGGGAACGGAGGCCAGTTACAGGGCCTGGAGCCTAGAGGCCACACCACAGCCCACAGCACCCAGGAGAGGGGAGGGTAGCACAGGCGAGGGGTGGCAGGGGCTTTGGTTATTTTTACAAGGAAGGCAGGAGCAGGTGTCTGCACTCTGGAAGTCTGTTTTGGCTTTTCATAGATGTGTCTTTCCCTTCAGAGCACCTAATAAGCTTTCTTTAGGAAATCCAAGCCTGACTCAGCCACAGGAAGGAACAGCCCTGTGGCTTAGGCTATGGCCTACATCCAAAACAGAGGACAGTCTGTGCTCCTGGGACACAGAAGGAAGAGCCGGGAAGAATTCTACAGGGAGGTGGGGCAGGAAGACAACCTGGAAGGGTCCTGGAGGGCTGCGTCTTTAAAGGGCCCCCAGACGAGCTCTTGCCACACCTTCCTTCTGGTCTGCCTGGTCTCCCGGACCTGGAACTGGAGGTGGCCAGAGCACCTGTTTCAGTCCCAGGAAGACAGCTTCTTCTATGGCAGAGACTGGAAGGGGTTTTTCCCCCTCCCAAAACACCTGCCCTGTCGGAACACGACTGCCCGCTGCTTTCGGTTGGGGTGGTTCTGGCCTCTGTGGCAGGAAGGTAGACAGAGCGCGATGCAGACTGTCTCCACATGAAAGGCCGTCAGTGAACGGGAGGAGGCAACTGACAGAAGGGGACAGACTGTGGTGGATCAATTCAAGCATGCTTACTGAAAGTGGTGTGAAGCTGGGCTCGGTGGCTCAGCCTGTAATCCCGCGCCTTGGGAGGCTGAGGTGAGTGGATTGCCTGAACCCACGGGTTCGAGACCTGCCTGGGCAACTTGGTGAGACCTCATCTCTACAATAAATCAAAAAATTAGCCAGGTGTGGTAGCGTGCGCCTGTAGTTCCAGCTACTTGGAAGGATCGCCTGAGCCCAGAAGGTCGAGGCTGTGGTGGCCGCTCCAATCTGGGCGACAGAGTGAGACTCCAACTCCAAAAAAAAAAAAAAAAAAATAAATAAATAAAGTGGTGTGAGTTTTTTCCTTATGTGAGAGGCGAACAGTAAATGCTAAATAACACACCCTTCTGATAGGCCACGTCAACTGTTACGAGTCCCTTCATGCAGAGAAAGAAAAGACAGTCGGAGAGGTACTGTTCTCTGACCTCTGTGCAGAACGACTCATACGAACAGGAAGACAAACATAAAAGGGCACCACCAAGCATCCCTCTCTATTTTTTAAGACTGGGCTACGAAACACGGCCAGACGTTCCAAATGTAAAGGCATCACTCTGCAGCATCGGGGAGTCTTGCTTCTTGGACACGAGAGAAGCAACCGTGGCATAGCTCACATCTCCTTTCTTGATCCTGTCAGCTTGCAAGCTCTGGCTGCTGAGGAGACTGACCTGCCACCCATGTCCTATTCCCAACCATGTCTGCTTCTCCCCCAGGGACATCATGACTCCTAAAGTGTGGAGCTGACACTGCAGGGCAGTGCTGCCCACAGCCCAGGCTACCCAACTGGGGAGCCTACCCAGCTGTGGAAACCCCGGCATGGCTTCTCAGATACGGGGTTGACGCCAGCATGCCACGCTTCCGCCCCATCCCAGGATGTCTGGATGAAACTGACTCAACCAGGACAAAAACTCACAAGCACACTCACTAGAGTATAAGGTGTGGGCTATTTTTTTCCTTAATGATAGTTCATAAGCCTTACAAAGTATTCTTTCCAGATTAGAAAAGGTTAGTTAAAACTGTTTAATAGGAACAATCTTGGACAAGCAGAAGTGCTCTGATTTGGAAGATTACAGCAACATACACGTGGGAGAGACTCCATGGGGACAGTCAGATGGGACAGCCCGCAGCTCTTCGAGAGCCTGTTAGAAAGACAACTGACTGACACTCTTTCAAGGCACATGCCACTTCTTGTAACGGTCAGCTTTCCACACAGGCTACGAAATTCTATTTACATTTAAAAATAGCTCTTCTTCAGCGTGTGGAAATGCCCAGAGACCAGCCACTGCAATGCCTGCCTAACACAGGTGTAGAACGGCCTTATTGATCTCAGGGTTTGTCCAGTCATTCCTAATGTCATCCAGGTGGTTATCGAAGTCCACAAGCGTCTCGTAGGACCGGCTATCCAGGAGTGAGGCTGAGATCCTCTGTGCCTCCGGCCAGTCTTCACAGTAGTCACTATGGGTCAAACATGGAGAAGTCAGCCTCTAACAATGAGAGCGGGCAGCCTCCAACAGCACTGGCAAGGAGGCCAGCCATGTGCACGATGGACGAAGAGAGATGGTACAGAGACGAAGAAACACGGACAGCTAGACACTAAGGACATACACACAAAGATAGTAAGACGTGCTTAAGAGTAAATGAACAGGACACCCTTCAAATGGAATTCTGAAAAAAGGGGAGGCCTGGGGTGGGTTCCCGCCCCCGCTGCTCGGAAGCCCCGTCTTCCAGGAGTTGGGGTGCGTGTTACGAGGTCTCTGGAGAGTGAGCTAGCTTGACACAGGCAGGGCGGCACTCACTGGTGTGGGTCTCTGCACCGCCACCGGTTCTCGTGGTGCTCATACACGTGGATGGTGGGCACTATGCAGTCCATTGTGAACTTGGTGTTGTCTACCTGAGCACAAAGCAAAGGACACAACAGTGAAGGGAACGCGAGCACAGGTTGACAGCAGGCAGCTCCGGTGCTCACGGAGGAGCGCAACACTGCCCAGGGAAGCCCCCTTAGCTCCGACATGTGGAAATGCGCCACGAGCTGGCCTGAGATAAACTGCACGTTATACGGGACAGTGTCAAGGCCTTCTAAGTCCTTCGCTGTTTTCTCTCACACGCAACTTCTTCCCTCCTCCGGAGCTGTCTGGATCAAGACTGTCTCTCAGGGCTCCTGCTCACACCTGGCCTTGCCCTCCCGTGCCCGAGAGGCTGTGCTGGCTGTTCTCATTCAACGCTTCTCACACGTGGTGTGTTCAGACCAGAATCATCTGAAAGGTGTCACAACAGGCCGCCGGGCCCTTCCTGCAGCGATCTGGAGTCAGCAGGGCCTGGGCATCTGCGCTTCTGCTGGGTCCACAGGGGTTGCTGCAGGCATGAGAGCCTCACTGAGCACCACTGGGTAGGAAGGGCCCTCCCTCTGGGTGGCTTGTGCTGCGACGAAGCAGCACACGAGCTACAGCCTGACCCCCATGTGACCTGCAGCCGGGAGAACGCTGCGAGAGGCGGCTGTGGCCTGAGGCTGGGTCAGTCCCAGGACCCACAATGCCTGGACAGCACAGCTCCATGTCAGCAGAACACACTAGAGCACCTGGAACAGCAGGTGAGAGAGACTTACCATGATGAGGGCGGTGTCGCTGAAGCTCTCGGCGATCCTGGAGGCCACCTTCTCTGCCACCTGGTTTGGACTGCCAGAGAACATCAGTGAGTGCCGCCACGTCCCAGCGAGCACCACACAGCACTGTCCATGGGAGGTACCGTTACCACCACAAGAACCAACAAGCAACAACAGAAACTGACAGCCACAGGTTGTGTGTGCCGGCGTCACGTACGTATGCACGTGTGTGTTGCTGGCAATGTGTGCGCTGTGGGGGGGTGAGTGCACAGGTCCTGCTCCCTCCAGTCATGCAGGTGGTTCCCATGTCTGAGAACTTGCAAGGGTCAGTGCATCTGGAGTGCAATGGCTAAGCCTCGCCCTGGGAAGTCCACCGTCATAATCCGATACCTCCCCACCAGGTAAGTATATTCTGCCAGTTTCAAGTGACCCTTGAGGATGATGGCCCCACCACAATGGCCCATGGTAAGGGCAGGGAACACTGTCAGGTGACACAGCACCATCCAAAGCAGGACACCCTGGTGGCAGGACCTCAGAGGGCATCTCCTCAGGAAGGGTCCCTGGGATTCAGTCCAGTGGCTGAGCAAGCAGATGAGCTCCGGGCCTCCTGTACCACCTCCCATCTGCTCACTAGCAAAGTGACACATCCGTCCCAGCAACCCGACAGCGCTGGCAGTCGAGTCACTGCTTCAAAAAATTCCTAAGCATCTCCCCATCATCCCCGATGCACGGAAGCCTTCAAGTGCTGACTGGGCCCTGCTGCCGCCCACCCCGATGAATGACACCTTTCCACCCCGAGTCAGCAGTGCTCGATCTAGAGCAGCCAACCCCATTCCTGCTCCTCGGCTCTAGCCCTCCTCTCCTCCTGTGTCCAGAAGGGGCCACACTTTTCTCTTTCTCCCCCAGCCCCAGACCTGCCTTCCCCTCTGTATGTCCCGGTTTTCAGGGGAGAAAACAGTATTTACCCGTGCCCTCCAGCCACCGTCAGCCGCCTTCCTCCTCCGCTCGTTGCTTGACGCTCATGAGCGGGCTGCCTTGCACCACAGCTCACCGCAGCCCGCCCTTCCTGCCTGCGACCGCCTCCCTCTGCGTGGCCCACCCTGGAAGGCTGCCGACCAGCTGAAGTTCAGTGTCCAGGCGGGCTTGCACACTTCTGCTTTCTCTGATGTGGGCCATCTCTCCCTCTGCTCGTCATCACCCACCAGGTGCCCGAGGTCTTGCCTGGCCCTGCCCCCTACAATTCATTCTGTTCAGGCTATGCCCTCAGCATGGGCTTCTAAACTGGCTTCCTGATTGATCTCAGAGTTGCTAGGTTCTCTCTATCTTTTTTAGACACAGGGTCTTGCTCTGTGGCTCAAGCTGGAAAGCAGTGGTGCAATCACAGCCTAGTATAGCCTCGACCTCCTGGGTTCAATGATCCTTCCACCTCAGCCTCCACCTGGCTTAGGTTCTTCTTATGTGATTCACTCTCCTTAGGTGGAATTTCCTAAATGGAACTTCCTGCATGTCCCCTGCTGCCTGTAAAAATGCATTGATTACTGTGAGTTTGTTTAATAAGATTCTTCCTTGTGATTAGGCTGAAAAAAGCAGAATAATGTCTTATGAAAGTAAATTATTTTATGTGACTATTCTATTTTCATTTTCAAAGCTGGGAATTTAAAGTGATGTGCTGATTCTAAGTCTGCGGTGCTGGGTTAAGGAAAATGAAACTGAAGGGGAGAAGGAAGGTTCCAGGTGAGAAAAGCCAGGATGTGTCAGTCCCTGGTGAAGGTGGCGTTTCACTGTGCTGAGGTGTTGTGAGTGCTACGTCACTGCAGTTCCAATGGCAAATGGCGAGGTGCAGGATGAGGCCTCGGAGGAGATCTGGTCCACATCTGCCTGCAAGACGTGGTAGGACCCCCAGACGGCCTCCAACTCGCCCTCAGACGCCAAGGTGGAGTGGGCACATGCGCAGTGTGTGATCTCTCAAGGCTCATGCCACGGGTAGTGCACAGAGCTGATCCTACTAACATTCATGTCGGTCGCACTCGCTGGCGGCTTCACGGGGAAAGGGGCCAGACACTCATGAAAAGCAAAAACTTGCCTGAGCCCACGGGTTCGAGACCCACCTGGGCAGCGAGACCTCATCTCTGCAATAAATCAAAAAAATCAGTCGGGTGTGATAGCTCATGCCTGTAATTCCAGCTACTTGGAAGGCTGAGGCGGAAGGATCGCCGGAGCCCAGCAGGTTGAGGCTGTGGTGGCCAGGAGCAGCCACTGCACTCCAGTCTGGACGACAGTGAGACTCCACTCAAAAAAAAAAAAAAAATAAAATAAATAAAAGCAAAAACTACCATTTTAGGTGCCCAAGAAGTCAAATTTAAGATGTACAAGTAAAAAAAGTGGCAGTTAATGAACTGCCCACTCTGTCTGGATGTTTTGCGCTGTGCTAGTCTCAAATACTGACCACCCCCTCCTGAAGTTAGACCGTCACTCTGTGAGGTTCAGGTCAGCACTCTGCTTCCTACTCATCTGTGTCAACTCCTCATGCCTGTGAAGAGTTGGCTGCCAAATAAAACCGCAGGCATCTGAAGACAGAGGCCGCTGGGCCAGGCTCTCCCAGACAACACAGCAGCCAGGCATCTGCATGTGGTGGATGGCGGACATTTCGCACATAAAAGCTTTTCACTGAGCCTCTATCTCAGACCAGGGCACTCTCCCAGGTACTGAAATATGCTCACATGAAATGCTCATGATGAAGCAAAATGCCAGCCACAATTAATGATATAATGGAACTTGATGTACTGGCCTCCAGTTCAGGAAACACACAAAAGTTGTCAACATGACATGAGAACACGGACTGAACCATCTCTTTTTGGAAAAAGTAATCACAGCAGTAGTGGGGACATGGCCCAGGAGCTCCCTCCTGCCAAGGATGCACCCCGCTGCTCCCAAGGTGAGGCTTGAAACCTCCGAGCACCCGGGAGCCTTCAGCGGCTGTCTTGCAGTGCGCTCACTCCCCCGCCTTCCTCCATGCAGCACGGCCCCCGCCACAGGCTGACCATGCCTTCCTTCTTGTCCCCCACGCAGGAGGGCTCTGACCTCCTGGTCTCCACATCTGCATGCAACAAGACCCTGTCCCACTCTCGAGGGCCTGGTTCGAAGAATGCCACGCCCTGGGGCTTCTCAGATCCTAGCCCTGGATGTCAGTCTCCCTGCTGCCACAGCCCCCACAGGCCCGCCGCCTAGCACCAAATCCCGTGCTTGCTCTAGCCTTCACGGCCAACACTGCCACATGAGGGCAAGGCTGAAAGTGTCTTGCTTTGCTCAGTTCGGCCCACATGCTGTCCACACCCAGTCAGTCCCTCGTGTAACGAAGCCGGACAGCTCTGTGGGTAGGCACCCACTCGGAGACGGGCAAGGAAGGAGATGTCAGAGAGGGGGCCCCGGAAAATGAGTGGTCCAGAGGAGTACAGAGAGGTGGTGGGAGGAGCAGGAGAGCTGCTCGGGCTCCTCTGTGTTCTGAGTAAGTGAACCCTGACTCCGCGGACACTGAAGGGTCAGCCCTACCTGATGACACAAGAAGGTCACATCAGAGTGCCCGGCCCCTGTCCCTTGCATCCTGTGTGGGACACTCTCCCCCCGTCCCTCTGGCTTTCGGTTGGGTTCAGACAAAGGAGAATCCCCGGGGGATAGCACAGGCGGTGGGAGACCGCCAGGGACTGCTTGCTCTGGCCATGAGGCCACATCAGGCCGCTGTGCCATGGCCAAAGGGTTGTTCCTCACAGGTCACTTCTCCACCGTGAGTCACCAGCTCTGAGCACCCACAGCCCTCTTGGATGCTCTCTTCCTGCTGCCCCACCTTCATGAACAGCCCCTTCCTAAGCTCCCCTCAGGTTCGCCTCACTTGCACCATCTGTTTTTCTGCGGGGACCGACAGACAGAAATGTATCAAGTGACACAGAAATACAAAGCGAAGACTTGTTAGCAAGCACTGCAGTGGGGGCCGGGCTTGGTGGCTCAGTCTATAATCCCGCGCCTTTGGGAGGCTGAGGTGAGTGGATTGCCTGAGCCCGCGTTCGAGACCCACCTGGGTGGCGAGACCTCAACTCTACAATAAATCAAAAAATCAGCCGGGCGTGTAGCGCATGCCTGTAATTCCGGCTACTCGGAAGGCTGAGGCGGAAGGAT